AAAAAAAAAAAAAAAAAAAAAAAAAAAAAATTGAGGTTTTTCCTAATTAAGTACATTTCATCACTGAAACTAAGGGTGATAACATAGAGGGTTATCAACCAACTTCAGTTTGGGGGAATGGGAGAAATGCTGACTCTTTCCAAGCACGTTGGGTGTATAGTGGTTGAAGACATTTGCCAAGATTGCCACTCTAGGATCCACTCCCACCAAACCTGGGCTTTTCACTTTCAACCCACGAACTGAAAATGCTAGTTCATTTTTCTACTCCATTTGCTTTTAGAGTTTCTTCTGCCTGTCTTACTGGCTATATATGACCTGAATACCACTTATTTCTTAAAGCATAGGTCAGATGCTATTTTAAAAGGAGCCCAGGATATTGGCTGATCTGATAGAATCTAGACCCAGATTACCCAGGGTCAAGTACCAGCTCTGGTGCTTGCGGCCTTTAAAGCCACAGAAAAATTACTTTAATCTCTTTGCGTCTCCATTTCCTCATTTGTGAAATGGTTATCATTACAGCACGTCCCTTACAGCCTTGGTATGAGACTTAGGCAATAGTCACCAAGTGCTTAGAACAAAGCTGTTTCTGCTACTTTCTCCAAGAACACTTCCCTTAACAGAGCCAACCCCTCCACCCCTCAGTTCTTGCCTCTGCACCCTCTGTCATTCTAACATAATCACAGAGTCTTGATGGGATGTGGAGTTACACTGCCTTGGTTCCAATCTCAATTCGGCCACTGCCATTCGCGCGTTTTCTATTGCCAGCCAACTTACTCTCCCCTGGCCTCAGTTTCCTCATCCTTAGAGGGTGAGCAGAGCAAATGGTGGTATCTCCATGCACATTCCTTTCGTCATCCTTGTGTTGGGTGCCCAGTTTGTGCCCTCCCATGGCGGTAGCACTGAGTGGGCTCAAACTGCACGCGTTTATGAAGCATCTGGTTGAATGAAGAAATCTGGGAACATAGTACCAGAGCACCATACCGTTCCCCCGAAGGAAAATGCGTGCACGGTGTCAGAGATCTGGAAACTTCTTAAGGGGACCCACGTGTCCTCCGCTGCAGACAGCAGCGAGAAGACACCCAGGGAATGCGAGACAGCGGAGGGTCGGAGGGGTCCCGTGACAACCTCTAATCCAGCTCAGGTGAGTTCAGAACGAGAGCACGCCCCCAGGCCTGGGCTGCCGGGTCCACACCCCAGCGCCTCCCCGTCGGGGCCTAAGTGAACATCAGCCTCCCGCCACAGCGCCCCGGCTGCTCGCCTGGGCCCACTGCGCCTGCGCACAGAGCGGCGCGCCCTAGGATGGCTGCCCGCGCCCACTGCGCCTGCGCACGGGGTAGTGCACCCCAAGGTCGGCTGCGCCTGCCCACTACGCCTGCGTGCGGAGTGCTGCGTTTCGGGACTTGTAGTTTTCCCAGTGGAAGTCGCGGTTTGTGTGCGGCCGGGCGCTGGAGGCTCCGCCGCCAAGAGCAGTAAGTGTGTGACGTCGGGGTAGGAGTGACTCGAACTCAGTATGTCTTTGGGATGCTGCGATCTCGCGGCCGGCCCTGTGCTATAGTTTTCTCTCTTAGACAAACGTCTGCCGGCCCCCTGCCGCTCCGGGGCGGGGATCCGGAGGGTGAAGGCCGCCAGGCCCCATCTGCGGGGCGCCCCTGCTGGATCCGGCCGTCAGGCGCCGCCAAACCCGCAGAGCTGCGTGTTCCGGCCGGCACGCGGCCCGGGCGGGGCCCAGGATTGGTTCAAGCCTAAGGGTGTTGGTCCCGGGAGGGTCTAGGGGGACGATCGAATGTTCTGGAAGGGCGGGGAAAGCGATGACAGCCCTTGGCCCTCATTCTCAGGTCTGAGAGGGGGCAGGTGGGGAGAGGACCCTGGACTGGCCCCCGGGTTACCCAGGAGAAGCTGAGGCCCAGAGAGGTTCAGCGACTCGCCCAGGGTTGCACAGGGAGCACAGACACCGACGTTGCTCTGCGGGGCCTGGGCTTCCAGCAGGAAGAGAAGCTGAAACCTGTCATGGCTCCTCGGCAGATCCCTGAAATGCTGAGATGTGGGGTCTGGGTAGCTGAGATCGGGCGGGGCTGGTTTCTTGAAGGTCAAGGCCCCCGTGTAGAGGGGGCAAGTGATGCCCGAGGCTCACCTGGCAGCCCCCTCCCTGGACCTACTTCTGTTTATGATTGGGTGAGGTTGGGTGAAAAAGGTAGAGACTGGGAATGAGAACAGCTTCAGACAGTTCAGACAAAGGGCGCAGCATGATTAGTGGCTGGAAGGAGACAGCAGGTGATAGACTGATCCTCGAATTTGTTAGGGGTGCAAGAAGAAAAGGTATTAATAGATTGTGGACAACACATTATCCATATTGCTTTAGTTGGTCTAACCAAAATAAGTGAATAGCTTTTTTGTTTCTAACAGAAGCCTGACAAAGGAAGACAAGTTATTTTTGCAGTGAAGGAAATAGAAATATTTGGAGTTGTAGCTAAGCCGCTTGTTACTTTTGAGTTTTAAGCTAAGATCGTGGATAGTTTCAGGGAAAGTTAAAAATTTCCTGCACTTCGTAGACTTTATGCCCTTCAAAAAGTCCCCATCTTGTTGGCTTTTGCAGTTCAACCCTCAGATACCAGCTGCCTCTTGTTTCTAATGTTGCATCAGGTGTACATATGGCAGCAAAGCACATAGCTTACTGATACTTTTAGCTTTTTTGTTCTCATTTGCCGAAGGCTGAAGGGTGCTATGGAAATGGCTGGCTTGGGCATGCAATTGAAGGGAGGTGGGGAGAAGTGGTAATTCAGAGGCAGTGGGTGGGAATGAGCAGGGCAGATCAGGGTGCTTCACTCTCTTGCCTCCCACCCACCACAGCCCTTCTGTTACTGTTGCGGGTTGACTCTAAATGTTTCTTCCCTAAAGAGTTGAATGTTGTCACTCCAGGTATGAAGTTGAGGCGGCTGTCAGTATATTGTGGCAGTCAGGTTCTGTGATATGAGCAAGGATGGTGAATTGTGAATTCCAGAGTTGCAGAATTGTTCTTTAGATTTAGATTTTTCTCTTTTTTTTGAGATGGAGTCTCAGTCTATCATCCAGGCTGGAGCGCAGTGGCGTGATCTTGGCTCACTGCAACCTCTGCCTCCTGGGTTTAAGCGCTTCTCCTACCTCAGCCTCCTGAGTAGCAGGGACTACAGGTGCATGCCACCACACTCGGCTAATTCTTTGTATTTTTAGTAGAAATGGGGTTTCATCATGTTAGCCAGGATAATCTCCATCTCCTGACCTCGTGATCTACCCACCTCTGCCTCCCAGAGTGCTGGGGTTACAGGTGTGAGCCACCATGCCCAGCCTAGATTCTGATTTTTTAAATGACAACACTTAGGTTCAGAGGGTTAATGACTTACTCCATATGCCATGCCATGGGTGCCGCCAAGAGGAGAGTTCAGGTCTCCAGTTCTCCTGGTCCTCAGGTTGCTGTTCTTTATTCCATGCCCTGCTGTCTTTGAATGACTGCATTTTGCACTGGATGCTACTGGTCTATGTCCTTCAGCTTGGCATGCCCGGTAGTGGATGGAGCGAGATTTAGCATAACAGCAATGGCTGACATTTAATGCTTTCTGTGTGCTGGCCATGGTGCTTCGTGTTTACAGTCTAATCTGCAAGAGAATTCACAGATGGGCAAGTTGAGGCTGAGAGAGGCCAAGTGACTTGTCTGAGGTCACATTGCTAGTGAACACAGCACAGGCTTTCCAGAGGGCCAGACCACGGGATATTCTTTTTCATTCATTTCCTCCTGCAAGATTGTTGGACGTATTTCTCATTCTTGACTTTGGAAATCAATATTCTACATACATCAATTCACTGGATATGCAGTTTTGCCTCAGAAAATTATGAGGGAACAGCCAGACTCATCTACTGTATTTGTATACAACTCAGTTAAAGCAGGAATTGTAAAAATAACCTTTATAAGACCTTTAACATTTTAATATACAACACAGCCAATCACTAAGATTATTAGAGATTCTCAAAGTGGAAATTGTAGCAACAGGTTATAACATGTTAGGAGCATATTTCTTTAGTGCGGGTCAGAATCTGCTTCTCCTTAAAGATAAGTGGGCCATGTATACGTGAAGGTAATGAGAAATTCAGCTACCATCATTACAGTCAAACAGATCTACCATTTAAATTCCTATCGCTAGCTTATCTCACTTCGAAAAAGTCCTGGGGAAAACTTGGCTACGTTGTGCCAACTGCTAGCTTGTTTTCAAGATATTCTAATCTTGAATACATGGGGAATGAACTTTTTATACTTAGATATCTTTGTAATTGAAAAAAAAAATTTTTTTTTGAGATGGAGTTTTATTCTTGTTGCCCAGGCTGGAGTGCAATGGCACAATCTCGGCTCATCGCAACCTCCGCCTCCCGGATTCAAGTGATTCTCCTGCCTCAGCCTCTCGAGTAGCTGGGATTACAGGCATGCGCCACCATGCCCGGCTAATTTTGTATTTTTAGAAGAGATGGGGTTTCTCCATGTTGGTCAGGCTGGTCTCAAACTCCCTACCTCAGGTGATCTGCCTGCCTCAGCCTCCCAAAGTGTTGGGATTACCAGCGTGAGCCACCGCGCCCGGCCGAAAGTTTTTAAAAAATCATCTTGCCTGAAGTTCATCTTACCCCCATCCTAAAGGCCTTTGAAATTTTCAGTCACTTTTCTTAATTATAACTGTAAGTGCATTTTAAGAGAAGTGTTTCCCTGACTTTTGAATGAAAAGCTCACTGCCTGCGTCAGGATAGTGCCGAGGTTGAAGCCCCGGAGCCAGACTGGATTGGTTTGAGTCCCAGGCCCACCTGTGAGAGCTTGGATGTGGTTCTGCGCTGTGTTTCCTCTTCTGCAAAGTGGAGACAGTAAGCTGTTTCATGGGGTAGTTGTGAGGGCTAAATGCCTTAACTCATTTAAGCACTTCAGCCACTTTTTTTGTGTCTGATACAAAAAAGTTAAGCTATGATTATTGTGCTATAAAGCATTGAATTCCAGAAAAAGTAGGGGCACTAAGCACCATGTCCTTGACGCCTTTCTTCATTTACAGATAGGACTGAAGCCCCAGAGGGAAGTCACTTACCAGAGATGTAGGAGGCTCTTGGGGTATGTGGCATATTCTGAGAGTGGCGACCGCCAAGGCCCTGGAGTGAATCCCATGCTGGGGCTGCCCCTGCCTTCTCACTTCCTTCCTGCCTTCTGCTAGGTCTCCCTCAAGCTTTGGAGAGAATTCTGCATGTGAATTGCATCTGACAGTTTTTGTGCCCTGTCATTTATTCCCTTGCCTCCAGATAATCCTTGAAAAAACCAAGATGAGCTTAATTAACACTCAGAGGACTTGAAAAAGACACTCACTCCCAAAACAGCCTGTGTTTAGTTCTGGAGCAGGTAGAGGGACAGATTTTAGACGTGGGCTCTTAGGTCCACAGATGAATGGGATGGGAGCACGTGGCCCCTCGGGAGTGGCACTGGGGGCTACAGAGAGCTGCTGAGGAGAGCTTTCGGCTCAGTGAGGACCAGTCCTGTCTGGGCCTTCGCCCGACCCATCCACTTCCCAGCAGTCTCTCAATCGCCTTATCAGGACACAGCCCACCTCTCTGTGATGCCCACTTTCTGTTCACATGCCCTCTCTCCATCAAAGAGACATCTTTCTAAGGTGGTCTGCCCTAGGAACTCCAAATTGACCTGTTTCTTTCTTCCTGCCCAGATCAGACCTTCCAGCTCCCTGGACGTGACCTTCCAGCCGCCTCTCATGTGCTTGTCAGGTGGGGATTTGTGTTGATCAGGAGTGAATTTACAGTTGCTGTACAATGAACTGGAAGGTGAGTATAGTTTTAGGCACACATACCCCGCCAGGCGCACACACCCATTCAGAAACACACCCGCGTCGGGAACATACACCACTGCTGGGCGCGCACACTCATGTCAGACACGCATGCCCGTCGGACACACACGCCCATCAGACACACACACCCCAGGTGCACATACCCCTGTTGGGCACACACACCCTGGGTGCAGTATCTATGTCAGACACACTCACTCCTGTCAGGTGCACATACCACTGTCAGGCACACACCTCTTTCAGGTACACACCTGTCAGGTACAGGTGTGACAAATTCTTTTCTCAGTCAGTGTAGTGTTAGCATAAATATTTATGGCTTGGGGTTTTCCCTGCCTCCTGATTGTGAAAATTCAGAATAACAGTTCTGTACAAGTAGATTGATTAAAAAGAAAAAGGTGAAAGCATAATATTTATGTTTCATTTTAAGTTAAACATAAATGTACATTTACTCACTGGACTTGCGGAAGAAGGCCAGGCCTTTTCTTCTTGTGTGCATTCACTAACTTCAAATCTTCCTCACTCTTCTTACAAAAACTATACCTTTAAAGCTTTACCTGCAATTTTGCTTTCTTTTTTTATACATTTTTTTTTGTGGAGATAGGCTTCCATTATGTTGCCCAGGCTGCTCTTGAACTCCTGGGCTCAAGCAGTCCTCCTGCCTGAGCCTCCCAAAGTGTGGGGATTGCAGGAGTGAGCCACTGTGTTCAGCCCATTTTGGTTTCTTTAGAGTAGGTGCAGTGGACTGAATGTTTGTGTTTCCCCAGGTTCATATGTTGCAACCCTAGTGCCCAGCGTGGTGATATTTGGAGTTGGAGCCTGTAAGAGGTAACCAGGTGAGGAAGCTGGAGCCCTAGTGTGTGGAAAAGTGACCTTACACAAAGGACTCCAAAGAGCTCTCTTACCCTCTTTCTCCCATGTTGGGGGCACAACAGGAAGTCAGCCATCTGCAACCTGGAAGAGGGTCCCACTGGAACCCACCTGGACTGCACCCTGACCCCCAGGCTTTCAGCCTTCCAAACTGGGACAAATATCTTTTTAATAAGTCACCCAGTCTGTGGCCCTTTGTTGGAGCCTGAATTGACTCAGACAGTGGATTAAGATCTTAGGAAGCAATACACACAGCATCTTTCCAGAGTTTCATGCTCTTCCCTAATCTTCTACGGTTGTCTTGCCAACAGCATTTTTTTTCCAGCTCAAACTTGAGTCTTTCAAAGTATTCAACTTGGCTTTCATAAAAACGTTTGTTTTACACAGTCATATTTCACAAGTGTAATGTTTAAATAAGTTATCGAACATAGCGTCAAGAACAACTTAAATTGCTTGGCGAATAAACACACCTGACCCTTGTGAAACATTAGACTCGACTGGTGGGAGCAGAAGTTCAAGGGCAGCCAGAGAGTAGGTCAGCAGTCACGTTTCACAGAGAGAAAGGAGAATGTCATTTTTAAGTCCCTGAAGTCGATGGGGTGAGGTGGAGGTTGGTGAAGAGAGCAGCCACTAAAATATACGTTTATTGTAGTCACTTAGCAAAGTCTAAAATCAAGCAAAAATTATACATTGTCTCACCATCTAGAGATGGCTACTGTTAACAATCTTGGTGTAGTCATCCTTTTCTGTATGTATGTGTGGTGTGTTTTCATACATAGGCTCTTTTATGTGTTTTTTCAATTATTATACGTGTTTTCTCATTTATTATAAGCATTTTCTTCAAAACATCCAGTGGTTTTCTATTGCATGGAGAGACTGGAAAGGTCTGGAAGCAGGACCAGGGAGCCAGGAAAGTAGCTTTCCCATCTTCCCCAGCTCTTTGGGGCATGGGGTGTGGCAGGCCCTGCAGGAGGGCTGAGGCCTGAGGACCTGGCATAAGTTAAAGATGCAGAGTGTTCTGTGACAGGTTGGAAGATATAGGAGAGTTCGTTTAGCATGCCTTGAGGATCAGAGCTCACAGTGGAAAGGCTGGGAGGGAAAGAAGAGGCAGTGAGAGGATGGAGAGGGGAAGGAGCGGAAAGCAGCATGGGGTGAGGTTTAGGGGGGCCATTCGCCCACCACAGTGGCTAAGTCAGTAGAGGTGAGAGGCAGTAACTGGTACTAAGGGCCAAGGTTCAAGGCATTAAACCTAATGCTTCCAGGTGGTGTTTCTCACCCTGAGGACTAGTTAAGGCAAGGATTTCAGGCCCCATGCCCAGAGCTTCTGATTGGGTAGATCTGGCTGGGGCTGAGAATTTGCACTTTTCTCAAGTTCCAGTGGTGCCAATGCACATCAGTCAGTCGCCCATGCACACCGGTCGCTGATGGACATTGTCGCTGATGCACACCAGTCGCCGATGCACACAGGTCGCCGATGCACACCGGTGGCCGATGCACACCGGTGGCCGATGCACATTGTCGCCGATGCACACCTGTCGCCGATGCACACCGGTCGCCCATGCACACCGGTCACCGATGCACACCGGCCGCCCATGCCCACTGGTCGCCCATGCACACCGGTCACCGATGCACATTGGTCGCTGATGCACACTGGTCAAAGGCAATGTGTGGAGACTTTTCTTCTTCAATTGTGGAGTGGCACCAACCCACTTGACCCTTTGGCCAGTCTTGTTTGTGACAGTTTTTTCTACCATAAGGAACAAAATCTGCCCAAACCTTCCCAGCCTCAGCACCATAGCTTCCATGGAGCAGCTTTGTGTTTAAACACAGCCCCTTCCAACGTAGTGTTAGAAATGAATGGCCCCAGGCCAGGCACTGTGGTTCATGCCTGTAATCTCAGCACTTTGGGAGGCTGAGACAGGCAGATCACTTTGAGCTCAGGAGTTCGAGACCATTCTGGACAACATGGCGAAATCCCATCTCTACAAAAAAAATACAAAGATTAGCTGGGCATGGAGATGCGCACCTGTAGTGCATCTGGGAAGCTGAGGCTGGAGAATTGCTTGAGCCTGGGAAGTGGAGGTTGCAGTGAGCCGAGATTGTACCACTGCAGCCTGGGCGACAGAGTGAGACCCTGTCAAAAGGAAAGGAAAGGAAAGGGGAAAGGAAAAAGGAAAAAGAAAAGGAAAGGAAAGGAAAAAGGGGAAAGGAGGGAAGAAGGGAAGGAGGAAAGGAGGGAGGGAGGGAGGGAGGCAAGGAAGGAAGGAAGGAAGGAAGGAAGGAAGGAAGGAAGGAAGGAAGGAAGGACCGACCCTGATTGCAGAGAGCTGCAGAGGTTGAAGGATTCTTTGGAGGATTGTGTACCCCCAGAGCATCTAGAGGCCTTCCCCCTCTGGCTCCATGGGCCATGGCCGGCAGCGACAGTCAATACTACCTGTACATTAGCAACAAGTGTAGCCTCATTATTTAAAAACTTCATTATTCCCATTTTACAGGTATTGGGGTTTTGTTTTTAAAAATTAATGTAGATCTAGGCCAGGCACAGAGGCCCATGCCTGTAGTCCCAGAACTTTGGGAGGCTGAGGTGGAAAGATCACATAAACCCAGGAGTTCAACACCAGCCTGGACAACATAGTGGGACCCCATCTCTACAAAAAATAAGAAAAAAGTAGCTGTCACGTGCCGCGGTCCCATCTACTCAGGAGGCTGAGGGGGAGGATTGCTTGAACCTGGGAGCCGTGATCATGCCACTGTACTCCAGGCTGGTTGGAGTCTCAAAAAAAAGTTAATATAGATCTAGGCTACCCTGGTAGAATTCATTTTCCTCCCTGAAGGTCTGCATGTTTCAAGAAATACAAGGGGCTTGTTAAAAGTAAATTAGAGGAAGTGGTTTCATACCACGGAAGGTTAGTGCCTAGGAGAGGGGCAGGAAAGGGGCCCTGGGGCCCTTCGCTTTAGCCTATTAATGTTCTTGACGTCTGCCGCCCTTGTTCTACCTCCTTCTCCGTCCAGACTTTGGCCTTTTGCCATGCCTCTTCACTGTCTGTAAAAGAAAGTGGGCACGGAAGCCTCCTGCCTGCGTCTGTTGGCTGATGCATCTCCATTTTCATGGGTTTTCTAACTTCTGGATGAGAGTGTACACTCCTGCAATTGCTAAAGCTAGGCTTCCTATTTGGATTGTAAAGAGCTATGGGCAGTACTGTGGGCTTTGTTATATTAATAGTAGAACCCCATTGGTTTATCTGCAGAGACTGAGAAAGCTGGAAGAGAGTAGCTTTTCCCAGTGTGATTCAGTGTCAGATAGCCTGGAAACTCCTAGCAAAAAAAAAGTTTATACAGCAACATTCTTTTCATAGCTGGTTTGTATGCATGGAGTCAAACCTTCACCACTAAAATGTGAACCTTCAAGAAAACAGAGGATCTCAAGGTTTATTGAAGGGAGGAGGTTAGCCTAGGGAAGGAAGAAGAGCTGGTAACCAAGTCAGTATTTGAAGCCGCTCATATTTACCAGGGTAAAAAGTTGAAAAGTTCCACTTTTGGAACATTTTCAGTCTTTTATACTGATGCCAGAGTGGTCTTTCTGAAGTTTATGTCATGTGTTTATTCTTTACTGTTAAAATGATTTCGTGGTTGAAAACTATTAGCTAATTACTGAGTGCTCTTGTGTTCTTATTGTTTTAGTAAAATTAAAATGATTTAAGCATTTGCATCCCTGCCTCCTCCTATGATTTTCATTCCATTTCTGTTGTATCACGTTATATCCTTCTGCATGTCCGTACGTAACCAGTAAGATGATTTCAGAGGTAGCGAGTCCAGTTGCCTCTGGAAATTGCAGTAGCCAAGCCACAGCGTATTTGCATAATGTAATTGTGAAGTGGATGAGTGTGAGGAATGAATCATACATAGTAGGACAGCGTGATGCTACAGAGTTGGGCTTTGGAGCTGGGTCAGGCCCTGCCTTGCTGAATGCTGCTTCCCCGCCTCTGCATTTTCTCAGCTCCCCTGCAGTCAGGGCAATCCATCTGCTTACGGAGGTAGCTAAGGACGAAAGGGAAAGAGACGCGTAAGGCAAAGAGACGCGTAAGGCACTTTGCATGCCGTGAGTTTCAAGTCGACAGTAGCTGATGGCTACAGATTCTAAGTGCGAAATCCACATCTAGTTCTGAGTCATAAGAGTTTTGATACAATCATAGGAACATACATCTACATACATTGTGATTTCCTGAATTTCAGCATATTGAAAATCAGGCATCAGTGGAAGGGAAGGGAGACTGGCCCTGGGGTTAGAATGTCCTTCCAACTAGCTACTCATGAGGGAGCTGCGTGACCTCTCAGCCTCTCAGCCTCCTGGGGCTCTACTTTCCTTGCTCATATAACCAGGGGGTCGACCAGGTCACCCTGAAAGTTCTTTTCAGCCCCTTGGTTCTGTAAGCATCTCGTTCACACCAACTAGGTTCAGATCAACTTCAGTTAGACTATTAGAGGGAAGTGCACATGTACCCCCCATAGTAGAATCTCATTTTATTGGTATTACATAGAATAAGTGATTGGCAGAAATATAAGGATTTCATTGGGTGTGGTGGCGCATGGCTGTAGTCCCAGCTACTCAGGAGGGACTGGGTTTGTTGTTGTTGTTGTTTTAAGGTACGGGATCCTATCAGGTAAGATGCTGCCTGGTCCTCTAAAATAATGCTTGCTCAACCAAAGCATACCTTTTCACTATTTGGGAAGGAATTTTTAATCAACTAAAAAGCACATAATTATCATTCAGGTCATACCGTGTGTATGGAACTGGTATTTGCTTTGAGGTACTATTGCAATATGTAGAATTTCACAAAAAACTTGCTAGTACAAATAGTGAATAATTCAAATTCAGTTTTTCCCTAGATTTTATTTTAGAAAATGGGTTTGCAGGAGCAGTTGATAAGTAGCTATGTTTTAATGTTTTCAGTTCTGTTGTGTTTTATTTTACCATCAAGTGCCAGTGCTAATGAGTCTCTAGAAACAAGAGAAAATCCAGGGTGCAAAAGCTGCGGTTTCCAGAAGCAAGGTCTGATTCACCTTGACGTTGCAGATGAAGGGGCAGGAGCTCAGAAAGGCCCATTGCCTGACCCAGGTCGCACAGTCAGTTGGTGGCAAAGTAGAGCTGTGACCCAGGCCTCGCGGCTCCAGCTTCTTTCACTGGATCTGGCTGCTGCCTCAGAAGCAAGGGCCTGGGTGATCGGCAGGTTGCACGGTTTGAGCTGAGAGAGACCAGAGTCACCATGCTGGTAGTTGACTGGTGGTCCTCTCCATGAAGCCAGTCGCAAGCAAGCCACAAAGAGCAGAGCTGTAATTTGACTGTCGGCCCCGTGGGGATGCAGACCTTTTCTGCTTGGTCTCCAGTGTAGCCTCCGCTCCTAGCCTCGTGCCTGTTGCAGAATAGGTGCTAAGTAAATATTTGTTGACTGAAGGAACATAAAAGAAACCTCTCATATCAGTGATGGAACATTTAGCATGACTTCTTTCTTCTTGAAGGTTCTTGAACACGTGCCCCTGCTGCTGTATATCTTGGCAGCAAAAACATTAATTCTCTGCATGGCATTTGCTGGAGTGAAAATTTACCAAAGAAAAAGATTGGAAGCAAAACAACAAAAACTGGAGGCTGAAAGGAAGAAGCAATCAGAGAAAAAAGATAACTGAAGGTGAGTTACCGGACCTTGCAAATGGGAGCTGGCCAGTGGGGTGACCAATGAATGAATGAGAGAGGCCTGAGGCTTCACTGTCTGTCGGGTCGGAAGGGCTGCCTGGGGACACGTGGCCTCACCTGTTCTCTATAAGGGCCAGGTGTGCAGATCCTGGGCCTGGAATCTGAATGCTGCTGAGCCGAGGCTCACAGAGGGTTAGTTCATCCTTCTCGAAACCTGCAGTGCAGTGGTTCTTCACAGGTATTGGGTTAAGAATTGAGGACTTAGTGACACTCTGGACCTACTTCCCAGAGAAGCATATACTAAAACCATCTGCATTTGTGTGGGGAGAAGTTTGCAGATGTGAGGAGTCAAGGTCATTTGAAATTCTAAGATTAAGAAACCCTGTTATCTTTAAGATAAAGTCTGACTCCTTGGTATGACAAACAAATCCCTTCCCAGCCTGGCCTCAACCCAGACTTCATTTGCCACTTTTGCCCACTCCCCGCAGGCCATTCCTCGGCCACCATGGCCTTTGGCCTTGCTCATTAGGTTCTTCCCAAGGACCTCGTCACCAGGCCTGAGGGCGCAATCGTTGCTGTCACCCAGTGGCTATCACCTGTTACAGTGACACTGGTGGGCTTAGAACATACTTGGGGAGTTACAATACATCAAGGCACCGGAAAGTTACTGTTAAGCCCCTGTTACAGATTTAGCACCTGACAATTCACAGCTACCTTGATTGTGGTTCTTCCCTTTGCAGGTTGAGTTTTGTACTTTAAAAATTGGAGGATTCAGCCAGTGTGGTGGCTCATGCCTGTAATCCCAGTGCTTTGGGAGGCGGAGGTGGGAGGATTTCTTGAGCCGAGGAGCTTAAGACCAGCCTGGCAACATAGGGAGACTCTGTCTCTACAAAAACTAAAACGACAACAACAACAACAAAAAAAACGCTTAGTCACACACTTACTGCGTTTGGTAACACATGCCTGTGGTCCCAGCTACTCAGGAGACTGAGGTGGAAGATTGCTTGAGCCCAGGAATTCAAGGCTCCAGTGAGCCATGATCACACCATTGCACTCTAGCCTGGGTAACAGAGCGATACCCTGTCTAAAAAAAACAAAAAACAAAACAAAAAAAGGGATTCAAATATGTGGCAGTGGTGGGGGTTCTAGGTCAGTGCTTCCCAGACCTGGCTAATGATCAGAATTGCCCAGGTGTTTGTTAAAATGAAGATTCCCAGGCTTCAACCCAGAGAGATTTCATAATGTCTCTGGTTAGGTTTCGGTATCTGGGCTTTTTTTTGTTGTTTTTAAGATGCGGGATCCTACTCTGTCATCTAGGCTGGAGTGGTGCAGTGGCATCATCTCGGCTAACTGCAATCTCAGCCTCCAGGGCTCAAGCAATCCTCCCACCTCAGCCTCCCAAGTAGCTAGGACTACAGAGCATACGACCATACCTGGCTAGGTTTTTAAAAACTTTTTAGTAGAGAAGGGGTCTTGCTGTGTTGCCAAGGCTGGTCTTGTACTCCTGGGCTCAAGCAATACTTTCGCCTCAGCCTCCCAAAGTGCTGAGGTTACAGGTGTGAGCCACTGTGCCCAGCCTCTGTTCTTTTGAAAACCCATTAGGGAATCCTTAGGTTGTCTTCTCAGCAACAGGTCATTGTAGGAACCACTGGGCTCGGTGACCCCCCAAACCCAGCCCACTCTGAGATTCCATGCTTCTGTCAGTAGGAATTCCTTTGCAGTGCTGTCAGACTTGTTGAGGTTAAAGGCCTACTGATGAGGAATAGTAGCAACACCTACTGTGTGGTTCTTCTGTGCTGGGGACTTGGCCGAGCATTTCATGCACAACTGTGCTATTCAGCCCTGATGACTCTGTGAGGCATGTTCAGATTGAAAGAATGGCTCACTCTGTACATGGTGAAGAACAGAATCAGAAACTGATCCCAGGTCAAATGCATTCCATCATCAGGCCCAAGCCTAGGCTGTACTGCCTTCCTGAATATAGGCAAGTGAGCTTGTAGGGACACCTCACTCTCTGTCACTCACCCCTTCCAGCATCTGCCCACCACTTGCTGGTCCTCAGTGAGCTGTAGGCTTTTGCTAGTTAGAAGTTAATTTCCTTTTTTTTTTCTTTTAAAAAAAAAGATGTTTTATTGACAAATTCAGGAGTAGGCATTAGGATGGGGAGGAGAGACATTAAAAAGGGCGAGGGAAGGCAGTTTAAATTAAAACGCTGCTGATTGAATTTATATTCCTGACAGTCCTCATTTCGTGTGTTAAACCAATTAAAGGAAGAAAAGATGAGATGGAAGATCATAAAGGCTTTTTCCCTCCCACAAACATCACCAGAGACCTGCAGTTAAGTCAGGGCTGGATGGCTTAGAACCAACTTGGGTTGTGGGTCTTCCTCTCTAGGCTGGGAGCTTCTTAAAGACTAGAGCCTTGCTTCAAACAAAGGGGGTTATCAGGCCTGGTGAGGTGACTCAGGCCTGTAATCCCCGCACTTTGGGAGGCTGAGGTGGATGGATCACTTGAGGTCAGGAGTTCGAGACCATCCTAGCCAACGTGGTGAAACCCGTCTCTACTACAAATACAAAAATTAACTGGGTGTGGTGACACGCCTCAGTAATCCCAGTCATACTCAGGAGGTTGAGGCACGAGAATTGCTTGAACCTGGGAAGTGGAGGTTACAGTGAGCCAAGATTTTGTACGGTACTCTAGCCTGGGCAAGAGAGTGATACTTTCTCTTAAAACAAAACAAAAAACGGGGGCGGTTTCAGATGGAAGGGAAACGTGATGTTAAAAATACATTCATTAATAAATAGACTTGAGTGATAGATGTGCGTGATGTCCATTTGTTTAGTCTGAGTGGCTGAGCATAGGTGTTTATGTTGAGCCAGTAAAACATTAGGTATACCCTTATCAAACATTTCCTGCTCATCCCTTTGGTTTTCTCTTCTAGATTCTGCAATGTAAATGTCAGCTTGTGTGGATTCCGGCTGAGAAGAAAGAGAAGAGAGACTTAATCATTGAACAGTGTATGAGAGGATAAACCCCCAACCTAGACCTTTCACTCAAAATAGTGTAAATTTGTATATGCTTTTGAAAGAACCAGTATTAGCCGGGCATGGTGGCTCACGCCTGTAATCCCAGCACTTTGGGAGGCTTAGGTGGGTAGATCGCTAAGAGGTCAGGAGTTCAAGACCAGCCTGGCCAACATGGTGAAACGCTGTCTCTACTAAAAATACAAAAGTTAGCCAGGTGTAGTGGCACACATCTGTAATCCCAGCTACTCTCAAGGCTGAGGCAGGAGAATTGCTTGAACCCAGGAGGTGGAGGTTGCATTGAGCCAAGATTGTGCCACTGCACTCCAGCCTGGACAACAGAGCAAGAATCCATCTCAAAAAAAAAAAAAAAAAATTAAAAAAAATAAAAAAATAAATAAAATAACCAGTATTTTGTTTACTAAAATATCTTTTTTAAAAAAGGTGTCATGGCTTTTGGAATAAGTCAAAATGTATCTCTCTCCCTGTCTCTCTCTCCTCTCTCTCTCTGTCTTTCACATAGCACCCTCCACCCTGTGTTGTAAAGGAAGGGTTTTGTAAATTTACACCTCCTGTACCATCTCAAGCTGGGGGGTCCCACGTGAGAGGCTTCCACAGAGGACAAGGTGCTGCAGAAGCATTTACTATGGGAGTGGGGTCCCCAGCACTGGGTGCCTGGGCCAGCTACGGCCCCACCCCAGGCCTCCTCATAGGCTGCCCTCCTGGACCCTCATTTATCCTCTTTCCTTCTTACAGGGGCCAAGCCCCTGGGAGAGTGTTTTAGAATGTTTTCACTGTTAGCGTGGAGGGAGGCTGTGTATGTCTAGGAGAGCCGGTTCCTGTGCCAACCATAAGTGTCCTCGCAGCGGGGAATCGTGGGAGCCCCAGGGTGTGCTTTGTCCTCTCCTCACCTGTTTGCTCCTTGGGGTTTGCTGATGAGATGAAGGATGAGGCATCCATAGGAGCTGCTGGAACCAAGGGCAGGGAGGATGGGAAGAGGTTTTACCCAGCACCTGACACACACAGATCTCTGCGACAAGAGCTCATGCTCTCCTGTTTCTCACAAGACCCCAGAGTGGATGGGGAATGAGGCGGCGGGAGCCAGTGCCGGAAGCAGGGTGCAGTGTTTGGTCTGGTTGCTGACGGCTGCATGGGAAACTTGCAGGAGCGTGTGCTGCTAAATGTCTACCCATCCTGGCCCAGCTTGGTAGCAGGTTGCGTTTTCCATGTGGGGAGTCTGGAGTTGCATCTTAAATTGCACTGTGCTTGCTGGATGCTCTTCACAATTTAGGAAGCAGGGGAGAATTTACAAAGTTCTGGAGACAGACAGACCCTGGTCCTTCAAGCTGCAGAGCTCACTAGAGTCGAAGCGGACTTTCATGTAAGCCCAGACCTAAGCCTCTCTGAAGGAGGCCACTCCAGCCTTTGCCGGGAGCTCTGTCTACTTTATTCTGCCTAATCCTGCTGTGGCCTGGGGTCCTGTTGGAACATGAATGGAAGACCAGAGCAGGGGTGGAATGCCCTTGGCTTTCTGCCACCTGCCCCCCACGCGTCCACAACATGCTCAGATGGGGCCTAGAACTGACCCTGGGCTGTGGCCTACCATTCTGCCTGTGTCAGGGCCACTCTGCAGCCTGGCAGGCCACCCCGCCCACCCTGGCCCGTGTTCCTGCCCCAGGGGCTGGCCTCTTTGCTTACTGCCCATCCCTCGAGTGTAGGGCATCACCTGGTCCTGCCTTGCCTGGCATCAGACCTACCACCTCAGCACCATTTCCTCATTTCCTCCCTCATGCCCACCCACCTGTGTACCCCCTAAGTCCAAGGAGGGTAGGGGGTCTGCTGGCCAGGAGACACTCAGCTGCTAAACATAGTGCTTTTCTAGGCTTTGGGGTTTGATGCTACACTTTGGTATTTGTGGAAGATCTGGCCATTTTGGAAAATTTGGTAGAAGATGTCCTAAGGATGGAACTAAACCACTGATCATCCCGATCGTGCCCATGGCTTTTCCGGTTTTTCTTTTTGGTTTTATTTTTTTAGAGATGAGACCTTGCTGTGTCCCCCAGGTTGGAGTGCAGTGGTGCAATCATAGCTCACTGCAGCCTTGAACTCCTAGGCTCAAGTGATCTTCCCACTTCAGCCTCCGGGGTAGCTGAGACTAGGCCGTGCTAATTTTTTAATTTTTAGTAGGGACAAGGGTCATGCTATACTGCCCAGGCCAG